TAAAGTCATTTTTGTACTTATAGTGCTGTAGTTATTAAACAGCGAGAAGTAATTATGCAGCACCGATGCTTCCTCTTTAGAAGTTGTTTTCAAATAGCTGCCTTTCCTGATGTGGCACCACATCTGTTTCAATCCTGTTCAGGTGGGCGCAACCTACCCCGCTCTCTGCTGGGTTCTACAGCAGTTGGCGAATCAGAAAGCAGCGTGTTCGCAGTACCCACCACGCTGCCACCCAACAGCTCACGGCACAACCGAATGTTCTCCCCTAACAAAGAGGCAGAGCTAGCCTTCAGACAGCAGCTCGACTCGATCAGTGTAAGCCAAAATAATGCATCATTTTTTGTTTTGTTTATGCCAGTTGTACAAAGACATAATTGATGTATTAACGAGCATTAATGTGTGTTTTTTTTTTCTTTTCTTTTTCTCACAGATGCAGTCAGATCTTTTCCTTTCTAGACAGAGAAAACCTCGGAACAGACAACTTCGCAAACCACTTGTAGTTCAGGTGAGAGCAGGATCATTATCCATTCATCAGTTCTGCGCTTGGTTGGGTGGAAGGCGGGTTTTCCTAAGTGTGTTTTGTTTGGCCACTTCTTTCTCGTTCACAGCGAACACTGCTGCCCAGAACTACAGGAGACACTCCTCAACACGTCTGCTCCTTCTCCATCCTCTCCAACTCCTCTGCCACAGGTACTCCTCAGATGACAGGACAGAACGATAGAATATGTCGTCAGCTGAGACTGGAAATGTTTAGGGCATAGTTTTACAGTATGCATTAATGAAATCACAGCTAAAAACAATTTCTCTTTCTCAGCAAAACCCTCTGGTAATTGTCTGCTCTCTCACTTCCTGTTTCTTCCTTCAGGAACTGGATCTTTCCGGCCGATCCATCCCCGACTAGCTCCTTCCTCTCGCTCTGTCCAAACTAAAACGACCCCAGCAACATCCAGCTCTGTGGGGGCCAGCCAGCTCTCTAGTATGGACGTCTTCTGTTATCTACTACATTTTTCTGTTTTATTGAAATATTGATAAACTCTACACCAAATATACTGCAAAAAAATTACATATTGTTGTTTTTATGGGGTCAACAACTTGGGAATTTCTGTAAAATACCACAAGCACTTAAATTAACCTACATATTAATCATCCTATTTACTT